GAATGTGCGTCTACATTGGGCCAAGGATTCTGCGCCTACAAACATGAGATTATTACTGCTGTTAATATGCCGCTAATATCATTACTAACAAGCTGTTATCATCACTACAACTTGATTACTACATTACAATTTCACCTATTATTATAATGAAAACAGTTGATATTAACTGATATCAATTATTGAATGAAATGAAGAAGTTCAGTGTGTCCACCTTTCCGTGTTCAATGAGAATATCAGGAGTAACTTTATAGAGTGCTTCAACCAATTTGAACATTTCGTCGTCAGGTAGATGCTTCAACGCAAACTCTCGTTGACAATCGTATCGTGGATCAGTGATACGCAAAACAGCATGACCATATCCAGGAATTACCTAAACAACTTCGTTATTATTATTAATATTATTATTTATAATGTTTGCATTAACATTTGTCAAACTCTCATTTAAGCACTCGACTGAACAGACGATATTAAAATTATAAGTGAGTTATAGAATGCGATAAATCGCAAGTTATCCACATATGGCATGCCTGAGAGATAGACATCCTTACTCGCTGAATACCTATTGCAATGATAACAATAACAACAATGAGAAATCATTCCCTGTCCATTGAACAAATGATCCCAAAGCCAATTGCGAAGATCTTTGTGTGTGTACTTCGATCCCAAATCCTTACGGATTTTCGACAGGAACAACAGCACCTGAACGATGCGCATTACAATTCATGTCTAAACTAAACAATCTTCACACATCAAACTGCTTATATGATATCAAAATTTTCCACAGAATTTGCGCTCAATTCCGAACAAATAACTGAAGAATGCGAATCGCGTAGCAGCACCTCCTGATTGGCTAGACCATGCAACGGTCCTGCTAAGCCAGCCATAGCAGCCGAGAACGACAGGAACGGATCGGAAAGCGCCGATCCGACCAGATGACAAGTGTGCGCCGAAACGTTACCACCCTCGTGATCACAGTGTATCGTCAAATATAAACGCATCAAATCGGCGAACGATGGATCATCGTAGCCTAACATTGTGGCGAAATTTGCTGACCAATCCTTTGTGGGATCGATCGAGGCAATCGGATCTCCTGAAGTGAATTTTTCAAACAAATTCGATAGTGTTATAGTGAATTGTTTCAATTCTTTAGCATTTTATCTTCCTATTACTATAAATCATTACTGTAGTTGTTTTTAACATCCTTTCCTATTTTAACATCATTCCACATAATATATCCGTGACAAAACAAGTCTTCCATAACTGTAAACCACGAAAATTATCCGCCATATTGTTCGTTCGCAAGGAAGGTAATTTTCAGAGAATGCACAAAATCATTGCTAGACAATGCATAGTTCATACAGTAAATAAAAGCTCAACGCTAACAGAACAGTGTTGAACATCTTCCTCGGTTTCATACCAATACAGAAATATACTTTAGGAAATAAATTGCTCAACAGTCATATTCAGAATGAACCTTCTCGGTATAGATTCCTATAAATAACAGCTGCCAACGTCGGTAGTTTTGCTATGAGATTCATTGAATCCTCATAAATAAATTCCCAATAGGTACTCTTGTGGATACCACGACGGTATGCCTAAAATACTTCTTCGTTGTCAACATAACTTCAATTAAATTCCATACAATAACTTGTCGATATGTGACCTTCCTCACAATCAGAACCCATATGGAAATTCAAAAAACTTTTACTGCAAATTCATACATATTAAAGTTACTATCATAGAAGTTCGATTGAAAAACAAACAAACACGTCAATGAGTTATTAGCGAATATTCATTCAGAGTTCGCGAAAATATGAAACTGCTGAAACAAAATTTAAAAAAAAAAGACAAACCAAACCTTCGCAAAGAGGCTCTCATTACTTAAGGCCGCAATTCCGGCAACGAACTGTGACATCGGATGAATGCTTGACGGTAGAGCATTCAACATCTCTACTACGTGATCAGGCAAACTGGCACGACTTGCCCACTCTTCACTGCAAATCTCTTATTGTCTCGAAAGCAACAAAGATTCTTTCCCTTTACTTATCACAAAAAGTTGAGACGGGTTGGACGATTTAGGTGATTCTGGTCAAACAATACGGTGGGAGCATCAGCAGCTTTGATAGGCAGCTAGCGATTTTGCTTGAATAAGTGACGATTCCGTTCAATCCGCTGGCAATAGTGGACAGATGAGGATTGCGATTGACAACAGAAATTTATAATATAAAGATGAGAGTTACTCTAATAGGAAGAATAGTATCACAAAAAATAATTAAACTTTATTGGTAATGATAATCACACGAACAAAGGTGCTACGCACCTGATCGCAGTGGTTTGCTCCCGGGTCGGGATATCGCCCGTGCAAAGCAACCAAAAAATACCCTCGGGTAACGGTTCACCGTCTGGATGCGCTCGTGGCAGCAGTTTCCGGCATTCCGGGATTGAATAGCCTCGGAAACGGATCCCCTCACCTGGATCAAGCACTGATGTTTCACATACCATTCCCTGAATTCAAAACAAGCATTCTTTCAACCAAAGAATTTGAGGCAATCTCAGTTTGCACCCCACAGAATCTTTCTCCGAATCCTCTGTTGAACACACTCGTCACCAAAACAAAACTCGAGTTTTCACAGCATCAATCAATCAATCACCTTGATCGATCTCATTCCACCATACACCATATCAACGGTGATGTTTTGAATCTCGGTTGCGCCATACTGTTTCTTGAATTCGAACACCCGTTTGTTATGCGCTGGAATTTTCTTGGATAGTACCTAAAAGAGACAAATTAAGGATGAATAATTACTCCAAATCTGAGCTCGTAACATTTGTTGATAGATTATTTGTTGTTTATTTCCGAAACTTTCAAAAAAAAAATCCGCACAACGTTAAGAATATCCAAATGAATCAAGAAGAGCTCTCAATGTGAACCTCTTTCAAATCAGTTGATTTGTCGAAAGCAGTTGAAATCTGCCGACACGAACATAGACGGAAATTCTGAAAACAATCAAAAATAGTCAAATTTCATGGTGACATTAGCCAAATTCAGGCACATAACCACTCAAGAATTGCGACACATTGACTGTGGTTGATTAGAGGAAACCATTGGAAAAGGATCGCAAACAAACACTTTCGAATGACACAAAATTGCATATGAATCGGAATATCTGGCAAAAATGAATCAACACACCTTGGCAAAACGAAGTGAAAAACGAGTTGCTAAATTAATTGTCGAGGTTGAAAGCGGCATTTTTTACGGAGAAGGTGACCAGTTCTAGAATATGATTAATTTCTCAAGCAAGCACCATAAAGTTCTCGTAAATTTCGTGCGAAACGAGATTTCAGTGTAAATGGAACATGTAATTTGTTATGAAAACATCACAGACCAATTGAACATTCAGAAGACGCACGTTAAGAATGCATAATCAAATGAAATCTGCATGAACAATTCAAAACTATTAATGCTCTCAATGTATTACTACTAACTTATGAGAATCGCTCACTAGCGCTTATCCAGTACCTATCTTAAACATTTCTAGGAACACGTACCCCTCTATCATTCCTATCCACACAAAAGATACATTTTACCGATGCATGTCCACATTATGAATGGTCAAATCCTCTTATCAAGCACGTCTTCTAAATGGAATCTAGAACAGCAATGACATGGACCATCAACACTTTACTAGAGCAACTTCTGATGTGACCAATCTATCAACGGTGAAATAAAGCAATGCTATTGTATTACATCACATTATCGTTGCATTACATGTGAACATATTAAATATTATCTTTTCTCTACATCAGCACTGTTGACATTCACTATTTTTACTATAATACAACAGAGATAATCAAAGATGCAAAATACAACGAGTTCAACTCCGCAGAATGTATACACTGAGAAGGCATTCGTTTGTTCACGAGTGAATACTTTATTGTGGATATTTTCACATCAAATCGATAATAAGAACAATAAGTTGACAGGTAATTAATGACTTGAATACGGATTAATATAAAACAATCGTACCAGAAATGATAATATACAGATAATGATTCAAAATGATTAAGCTAAATTAACATGGCATTGAATGACTGAATGCATTTTTAGTTGAATGTACCATTCAAAGCATCTGATGATCAGTTCTTGAGCATTTCAATGTTTGCTTTGAATTTTCCAACATGAAAATGAACAAATTTAAAATCAAGAGATCCGGATTTTGAAGAATAGCTCATATAATTCAACGCACTGGTATCTATAACGCAACAAATTCATCGCCACAGATAATAGAACTCATAACAAACCCTTAATGAAACACACGATCGCGAGCGATTCAAAGAAAATGACTGATCAGAAATAAGAAACGTTGATGTGAATTTTCATCTCTGCCATCGCATTATTTGATCTAGCATCCACAAGATTCACAGCGAAGATCCGCACCTTTTGATAATTCGAAAGAAATTTGAGAATGACCTCCCAAAGAAAGCAAAGATGACTGAAACGAACTAGCACAAAACATTATTCTTCCGATACTGGAAATAATCAATAAGAAGAGGCATATTATTATGAAGATTTAATCATTCACTTAAGCCGATAGGACAAAAAAACACTCGTTCGCACTGATAACTGATAAGGCGACGTGTGAGTGGTGTCGAATGGCATTCAAGAATAATCAAGTTATCGTTATCATTGCATGAGAGTGTGCTCAATTTTGATATGATAATATGTGGCCTGAGAAAAGTGAGAAGACGTACCAAACACCTTTCTCAAATAAGCCTTGACTGAAAGTGGAATCTGCAAATTTTTTGTTGCTGCCATTCGATCAAGCGAAGCACTTTTAATGCAAATAAAAACGACAGCTTAACTCCAGCACAATCTCAGTCACTTGATTCTTTTGATTGTCACTTAACTAAGACACACGATCACAACAACAACATACTGTGAGAATATTTCCAACTGAACATTTTCAAACAAATAATAAATCAACTCGTAACCAATGACAGTACCAGTTAAGAAAACACAAAAGAATGAATATAAAAATTACAAAACGATTTCGAAGAACAATAATCAAAGTAGAATTGGCATGGTGTGCAACAATAATGTAATCTAATCACCGTAATATTAAGTAGGATAATGATAAAGCAATAATCAACGCTTGATAAACTCCACAATTCTGCTATCATAAACAACAGTATTACAGTATCGATCGAAAGAAAGTAACATTGCATTTTCAAGTGAAATGATGATAAGAGAGTGAAATTCAACCGATAAAATTGAAGTACTTCTCAACAAAACAACAACTGAATGGAATGATGAACACTTCATGAATAACGAACGCATCACTACTGAGTCAAATTCCAAAAACGATTCGCTTTCAGTAATCGAAGATGCGATAGATACGAGAAATGAATATCTGTACGAAGATGAACGCTTGAGTGTAAAATAAAGCTTGAGACGTCTTCGAATAATAACAATAATAATATTAATAACCTCAACAACAACAAATCCAAACACTCAATTCGCTCGAAAACCTCCTTCAACATGAAAATGCAATTCACTATTTCAATGCGAAATTGCCTAATTCAGCTGATCATTAGGAACTGATTGTAATCATTATTATTATTATCATTAAGTAATCATTTTTCTTGTCCATCTTGTTTTTTCTTCTCTTCTAGCTGTCGTTTTTCCAAGTTCGATTTCATGAACACATAAAGAAATTCGAATGCTTCTCTCGCAGCACAATCTCGCGAAAGCTGTTCGTTTTGGCCGTTCCCACCGAACACATTCGATTCATCATTGGCGCCCAACACTTTCAGCATACACTGAATGTCACCTGCATAAATGATTATTCACCCATTTCAACTACTCATCAATAC